AAAAAAAGTCGCCCGTAATGACTAGTTGAATGCACCCCAGGGTCGACCATTGTTGCGAAGCTGCCTACAATGGCTGACAGCTGTCGAAAAGATCCTCCATCTACCATTGAGACCTCGTCCAAGATCAATACCTTTGTCCTTAGCCAGCGATTCTTTGCCTTGGCATTCCTCCTGATCTTCTTGACGAGGACAGGAACTTCCTCCTTGCCAAGACCTATGCCAGAAAAGCTGTGTAGTGTCTGGCCGCCAATATTGCAAGCTGCGAGGCCAGTCGAAGCGGTGACTGCCAATCGTTCCGGGTCCTTGGCGAACTTCTTTCTGAGCTCCGCGACAATTGATCGCATCAAAACCGATTTTCCAGTACCAGCTGGCCCGGTGAAGAAGACGCTTTCACCCTTGTTTACAACAAGGTCTTGCACGCGCTCCTGTTCTTTGCTGAGACTAATACCTTTGACACGCTCGGAGTCCATTGCCGTGACAGCACGCATTTCCTCCGTAGTATATCCTTCATTCGTCCCAGACCTCTTCAGAGTATCCTTGTGATGTTTCTTTTGAGCCTTCACGGCACTGGCAGTCGTATTCCAGGGCATCTGATCTTTTGTCTTTCGCGCTGGGGTGGATTCGCCATGCAACCCCAGCTTGCTATCATCGCGAGGTTGCGCAGTCCAGGTCCTGGGCAAACTCCGCTTCTTTGGAGGCGGCAACTCCGTCTCTCCGAGTGACGAGCGTTTGCTAGTTCTTGTACTAGACACAGTTCGGGTCAAAAGTGGATGGGACGGCAGCATATGAGAGGGCGGCGAAGAAGACCATGGAACAATATTTTCTGAGCGTGAAGAGAAAGGTACGGTAGTCTCATCGATTTCGTTCGAGGGCTTTTGGCTGATCGTCGGTGGGGGTGGGGGTAGCTTTGTAGGCTCTTGGTAATCGAGGTCGAGGTCTGTGTCGTCGCTAAAATCATCTTCAAAGAAGAGAACCTCTGTCGCAACAGCCGTTTTGGCTCGGCTGCCGATCTCAACAAGGTCATCTGGACTGTCTTGGAAAGAATCGGGTTGGTTGTATAAGGAGGCCATCGGAACTTTCGAAGGCGCTCTGGGGCGAGATGCTGTCAAGCTCGTTGATGGAGCACCTTGTTGATTGGGAGTTGAAGACACTGCTGTATCAGATCTGTGACCTGGCTGACTCGTCCTTTTGAAAGAGTTTTGGATATTGGCATGTTGAATCGGGCTGCTCGATGGGAAAAGTTGTTTCGCTAAAGAGGGAATCCGAGGCTGTGGCGGCTTGGCCTCGAAAGCATTGTGAGCTCTTCCCAGCATTGTATCTGCAGCGCAGCTTGATTGAAGGCGACGCCAGGTGTGAGCATGAGTTGGGAGGTGAGGGTTCAGGCGATGTTGGTTTTCGAGCAGCGCCAGCAAGAATCGACCGCGCAACAGGCTGGGCGTGCCAGCCGTCATACACAGTTCAGTCCCAGGGGGGTCGATTCAAGTGCCTAGGTAAGGAATATGGTTGGAGGAAGGAAGGCTCAAAGGAGGAGGATAAATTCTGGCAGCAGGAGTGGTAGAAGCATGTGCTACAAACTCAGGTACCACGCTGGACCTGGGGCCGTCGGTCCGGATCGAGATGTCGAAGAGGAGTGAAGTCGCGTGTCGTCGCGTCTTTGGGGTGTGGGTACATCCCGCTCTCGCGTCGAGTGGACAAAGGCCAATGTTGTACTCTATGGCCTGCTGTAGTACCTAAGTACCCCAGGTGTGACAAACACAATGTCCCACGCAAAAGCCCCTCCCCGACCCCACCAGCAATACAGCCATATCATAGGCCGTTTATTGTTATCCGCTCAGTACCTACCCTAGGTAGGTACCTCAGCATCTTGGTTTACTAAAGCAGCCCACCCCGACTGCCCTCCACATACCTCGGTACAACAGGTTCTTTCTTGCCTTGTCCATCTTTGAGTTTCCCTCTCCGCTACATTGGAGAGGGCGCCGACCCAAATCATGGCCTCAAGATCAATGGTCACACGCCTATGTATACATATTACTCTCCTAAATTGGATCTTGTAAAATTCGAGACTTTGACCCATAGAATCCGTCACCTTAACGCTATAGCCGGCTACCCATCAGGCCGACCATAACCACGGCCACAGAAACGATCACATGGCGCAAGGAGAGTACCAGCAAAGAGGTCAAACTCCAGTTCGCCTTGCAGCTCTGGTTCTCTGAAGAAGCGGTTACTGGTGTGGTTGCTAGCTCTCTACGAGAGGTGGCGGTCCTTGTGACTGTAGCGTGTTATTCACACCGACGAGACAGGAGAGAAAAAGCCAAATGGCGCAGCAGCTAGCCCGTCTCATCGAAAAGTAACCGTCTCGCCCAGATCATGCCGTTTCTAAGTCACAAATTGCATAACTCCTGTATACAGCCCGTTGCCCCACTTCCTACCCAAGTGAAATGCATCCGCGTATAACAGAACCGGTTGTGACAGCTTACTCTACTTTGCGAGTTCACGGGTTTGACGCAAGTCTCGATGGTGATGTCTCACCAGACAACATCTAGTCGGCTGGATGGGTTGGCTGCTCGATTCTTTCCAACCGTCATTTTATCCCTTTGCGTTAGGTTGGTCTTTTGAGCGAGTTCACAGGGACTGACAACAGAATATACGAGGGTGTGTGACTACTACTGCCATCAAATTTTCGTCTCTAGATCTAAGAAATGTACTCTGTACAAGCCAACACTTATGACACAACCCTAAATATAGGGTACTCGTCCCCCCTTTCAACCGGCACAACATTGAAACTGACGTAGGAGTCGATGTTCTCCGGCTCCAACGCAACAAAAGCAAGAGCAGCGTTCTTCTGCCGAGTGCTGACACGGAAGCTGCCGGCTGGCAGCGTCAGCTCTCTCTCACTTGTGCTAGTCGTGACGGTGGCACGGACGGCGCCCTCATAGTAACCGGATTCGAATTGCGAAGATTCGATCTGCAATGCCTCGACAGCTCCGGTCCACGACTCAGTAAGTGTCTCTACTTCTAGGCCTGCATCAACGAGTCGAGCAGCAAGATCCGCCCATGCAACCGGTATGAGGTAGGCTTCGGGACGAGAGCGAGTGAGATTGGCATGCGCCGGAGTGTTGGAGACGAACTGGATGGGCACCTGAACAATCTCGCCAGTGGTGTGGTCGACCATGTTGAATTCGCGATTCCCAGTCGTGGTGCTGTCGGTGAGAATGATGTCGTCCGAGCCAGAGATGAAGGCAGCACGACCACCCTCGACCGTCTCATAGACTTTGTTGGCATTGTCAGCTGCCGTCTGAATAATGCTGCCTGCCATGGTGAGGCCGGCAGCTGTACGACGTTGGAATTCCTGATCGGCGAGGAATATGCCACGCATCTCGATGAGGAACGTCACAGACTGAGTAAGGCCCATGGCGTTGCGCCCAATCTTGGCATCAGTACCAGCCTCGGTAAAGCTAATCTCAAAGTCGAGATCACGGCTTGAAGGCCCAGTGACATAGGGCTCCCACCGTAGACCAGCGTCCTCCATATCATTGCCGATGTTCTTGGCGAAGACTTCCTCGGACAAAGAGCGAATGCTCTTGTTGATGTTGAGGTTTTTAGCAGCGGAGAAAAGGCCGTCAGATCCGTGATAGTACCGGCCGTACTGAGTGGTAGCTCCATACTCGTGCATATCAATGATGACGTGTGGGTTGTATTCAGCCAGCAAGGCTTTAATATTGCGCGTCTGCTGACGGTTTTGTTTGATATGGTCACGGTTAGGATCAAAATTTGTTGCGAGAGCGCGTTGGAAGTAATAGACTCCGTCAGGGTTGTATCGCGGGAGGATGACGATATCAACCTTCTCGAGTATGCCTGCGGCCCATTCGGGGTCGTTATCGAATTTGCCAAGGAGAGCAAGAAGAGCCTCATCTCCAGCTGGTTCATTCCCATGGCTGCGCCTGAACCCAAATGCGAACCTTCTCAGCAGCACTACGACGGCGGCAGGTAGAATTGCCTGTGCCGGCGAGGTGAACGTAGGGAAATGAGCGCAGCTCTTCAGAGGTGAAGTTGGCTGTGTTGTACGTCATGTAGCTGTTACGGCCTGCGACTTCTTCCATAAAGACCTCTGAGGTACTGTCAATTCGTCTTCACAATAGCGTGATCTGACAAGAGCTTCTTACCCATGGCCTCGTGGGAAGTTGGGCCCTCAGAACCCCTTGAGAACCCTTCGAGACGACTCCCGGGGTTAAGGAACGCGGGCGAGTGGAGAGAAATATCGATATCCTTGAAGTTTGCAGCTACGATATCGGAGTCCTGGCGAACAGCAACATGGTTGTAGCCGTACCTGGCAGCATCGGCGAAGGAGAGGAGCCCGAACAGGCCAGCAAGGGTGGAAGTCCGCATGGCGAGATTCGACTTCTGAACAGAAGACTCAAATCCACTTAAATGTTACTTGTCTATCACGGAGGCTCGCCGTCGACTCGGCAAAACAGCTAAACCGGGCACCATGGCTTATATAACCAATCGGTGTTGTATTGTCGGCGACGACCTCGGGAGCCGCCTTAGCCTCTCGAGGGCCGAAAATAAAGACACCTTATGCAATGTCATCTCTCTAATACACTAAGTGGGCAGCTTGATCGTCAAGGGCAGCGATCTGTGCGAGAGTTGGACACTGGGAGGGTGGGATCAACAGTCACTTTACGATTGAAGGCGTAGCCCAGCATTGGCAACGAAACTGAATAAGGCAGCTCAGCAGCAGCAGTTGAGGGGAAAGCGGGGGATAGTGGGGCGCTGTGACCGCAGCGTACCTTGGGGTCTTTACCTACCTACTTAGGTACCTAGGTCGGCACTCATGAGTACCAGTAGCTAGCCGTCGAAAGTGGTCCTAGGTATCTGGTATCCTGAGCTTGGTCTTCTCCTTGTTTCTCGTCTCCCACGAATGCACTGCAGTCGGAAAACTGGTTTTGATGAAGAAAGCCACTAGCCGGATTGCCAAGAGAGCACGGGCTCCGATGATACCACCGATACCAACAACGTCATGTTAAGGGCCATCCGAGGGCCTTATCTTGCCCAGACGCATCATCTCAATCGTGCTTTCCCTATCTCCACGGTTTCTGAGCCCAGCTAGGCAGGTCACTTCTGAGCGCGAATATCGCCATGGGGATATATTCGCCATCATATCTTAGCGGGGGTCAGGCGAAGTGACTGTTCGTGAAAACGAAGCGTAAACGGAGCAGAGCGGCGTGACGCACATCACTTGCAAAAGCTGCGTTTTTTGGTTCTTCATCACCTGCTTACTGTGTGGGCACTTTCCCAGCCTTTTCAGCCAATCTGAATGGGCCCTACCCAAGTCGGGGCTACGAGACAAGAAGCAATGACGACATGGCGGAAACCTGATAACAAAGGCACTCTCTACAATGCCGCCCTTCCCCGTGACTCAACGGCATCAGCAGTACAAGAAGACCGGCAGCAATGAAAAGAGCACCACTTATGTAAACGGGAGCCGACGTCTCAAGGTTAGCAAACATGGCGATGATGGGCTATTCGGTGTCAGTGATGACCCACACGTACGACAACACCCACTTACTGCCATGATGCCGAAAATACGATTGCAAGTTGCCGTCAAAGCATTGCCCGTGCCGCGTTGGGGTGTGGGGAAAAGCTCTGGTGTGAATCCGTAGAGCACAGCATACATGACGTTACTGCAGAAGTTGAAAGCGCAATTCCAGCCCAGGAGTGCATTGCTCGTTACCGCCGTCGTTGAGCAGTACAGAAAGACACCTGTCAACACGGTGAACAAGGACAGAGTGCCCTTGCGACCAATAACCTTTCGCTCCACGAGCCAGCCTCCGAGCAATGCGCCAGGAACGCCGAGAGATGATATGATCAAGCTGTTGCGGTAGGTGATGTAGGTACTGCCGTCACCAAAATCGGCGCCCCGCGTGGCCTGGATGAAGGGAAGAAAGGCGTTGTACAGCGGGTAGCCAAGGCCAATGAGCGCCCAGATGGCCATAATGAGGCCAGTACTGAGCCCTAGCTTGCGTGTTGAGAAGAGAACACGAATGTGGCTAAAGTTGAGCTTTGAAGCATATCTCTTGGCCGCGGCAGAAACATTTGTCTGAGCAACATAGTCCTCAGGTTCACAAGCCTTCAGATCGGCTAGTGTCAGAGACGTTGTCTTGCTGTTGCGACGCGCGACTTCGTGAACGATACGGACGGCATCCTCATCGCGTCCTTTGCCCATGAGGTACTTTGGCGACTCAAAAATCTTGAAGGCGGCAAAACGAACCAGGAACATGACAGCTGTGATCCCACCCATGGTGATGGTAAACCATCGCCAGCCCATGTTGTCACTCTTACGACAAACAGTATCTTGTTCGCACGTCAGATTTCCCAACAACGGCCAGGCGACGAGGTTCGCAACAACTTGAGCAATAGCCCAGTCGATAGAAAGAATGGTCAAGAGATATTGGTGAGTGCCAGGCAGGAATTCAAGGAAGATGGCTGAGTCGACGGGTAAGTTTCCACCTACACCGAACGACACAAAGCGGCTGCAAACTGTCGATGGCGGTAAAATTATTG